GCTAAATATTTATTATTAATGTTAATGATAGTAAGAAATAATACATATACTTTATTACTCGTAGTAATAATTTACTTTTAGTTACTGACTGACTTCAGGTTTAGATCATTGTTATTTATAAATTATATATTTTTCTGGTATAAATCTGCTGTTTTACATGATTGTTGGATGAAATTAACATAGTTATTGTAAAAATATTACAGATAGTTTGTGAAACAGATCCAGTTCAGCTGCTGTTTATATAGTTTCTATGATGACTGTGAGCCGTTGCCCTGTTTGGTCACCATTTTTTGCTCCTGCCTGCTGTCACACATGCTAACAGTGGACGGGATGGGCGGGGCTCAGTCTAATGTTAAGTCTGTGGCTGAAGAACTGTGAAAATGCTGAACATACTAAAAACTACCAGAGTCACATTTCATGATTTGGATTTATTGTACGTCCTGTTTTTGTTGAATTTTACAACTTTAATAGGACAAATAAAATATGCATTGACAACATGTTATTTCTATTTATTAATAAATTAGTTTAGTATCCTTCATTCAACAACAGCATATAAACCTTGTCTACAGAAAGACACTTACCATTTTTTTGTTTTGTCCCCCCCCCCCACACACATACACACACACACTCAGGATCACCAACTCTCCTGTGGCAGACATTGCAGTGGTCTGGGCTAAATGTGACGATGGGAAGGTTCGTGGCTTCATCTTGGAGCGTGACATGAAGGGCTTTTCCACACCTAAGATTGAAGGAAAGTTCTCTCTGAGAGCCTCGGCCACTGGGATGATCCTCATGGATGATGTAGAGGTTCCYGAGGACAACCTGCTGCCTAAAGCCTCCGGCCTGGGGGTGAGTAGAGTAACGGATATTATGGATTTTACTGTTTTATTAGATTCTTAACATTTGTACATTTGTTTGGTTGAGTCATGATGAATAAATTAAACTAATTCARTATAGTAGCTTTGATATGTTTTCATAGGATAAAATAAACTGCGCTATAGCCTTTAAACATTGATTTTTTTTCCCCCTAAAAATGTCTGTTTTCTTGCCTCCAGGGTCCATTTGGTTGCTTGAACAATGCTCGGTATGGTATTGCATGGGGTGCCCTGGGTGCTGCAGAGTTCTGTTTCCACACGGCTCGTCAGTACACGCTCGACAGGTCAGGTCGTGTCCCTTTTTTCTGCAGCATAATATGTAATTACGAAATGGATAAAATAGCGTTTATTTTATATTCGTTAAACCAGAATTCAGTTTGGGGTGCCTCTGGCCAGGAATCAGCTGATGCAGAAGAAAATGGCTGACATGTTGACAGAGATCACAATCGGCCTGCAGTCCTGTCTGCAGCTGGGCAGACTGATAGATGAGAAAAGGTAAGGCTCACTTCTCCCTTTTAGTTTATTACATGGGCACAGCCACTGCTTTTTAAAGGGTCTGTCTTTCAATCGCAAGGACTTTGAGTTTCTCCTTTCAGGATGGTTAGTGAAGATAATTGCCTCTTTATTCTGTTACAGTTGTGTGATTAGGATCACACATGAAAAAGTGAGTAGAGAATCTTGTAGGGATGGGCGATAAAATGATAAGGGTATATCCAGCGATAGGAACATGATCAATAGACCCAGGGCACCTGTTCTCCTGTGTTTGTGTATGTTCTGGCTTCTTGTGAGTGGGTGTTCTGAACTGTAATTTCATTGTGCTCTGTACAATGACAGTAAAGGTTTACTCAATTCAATTTAAYATCAATAGAAAATATGTTGGATAGAATTTGCATAGGGCAATAAAAATTTTGGGCAGACTGGGACCAGAAATTGTGACAGCAATCAATAATAGCTACTGCAGCTGTAAAATCACTACCCACCTCCTCTACCCCAGCCGGCGTAATTTATTCTGTGTGTGTGTTTCTCTGGCTTCATAAAATAACTGTGGTCACCACCTCGCTGCACAAGAAGTTTATGAAACTTACGAATGAATGAAGCGTGAGTGATCAGACAGACAGGAGCTGGAAGCACTAAGCTCCGCCCACTTCAGTCACCTGGTGCCCACCTGGTGATCACCAGCTGGTTTAACCGAGGCTGAAGATGCAGAAGACCAAACTACAGGAGCTGTCCATCTGAGGGACGTGTAGTCTAAAAGACATTTAACCATGAAATGTTCAGTTTGTGATGTTTATATGACATACTGTACACCCAGCCCCTTGGCCACTTAGGTAGTTTACAAAATTTATGCAGAGTAAAAGAATAAAATAAAAACTCGGTGGACTGATTTGGCATGATGTCCTGAGACGTTGCAGCTGATAGGAGTCATAAAACAGAACAGGGGGACGTTAGATGCCTGGACGCCCCTCTAGATAAATGTGTTAAATGAGTGAAGGAAAATATGAGCACCAAGCAACAACCCTAGGTTCTCCCCTGAACCAGAACAAAAAGTTTATGTGCAACCCTGGCTATAGTTACTGTAGGCCAACAGCTCAGGGGCCGAACATCCAGCAATTAAAAGCATTATGTAAATAAACCAAGTATTACAAAGATCTGTTACATTTTGAAATGGTTTATTTTGCTGTATTTAATCATAAATACAACATACAGAACCCTATAAAAGTAGGGATRATTAAACAGTATCAAAATTAACACATTATGCCTCCTGTTTGACACAAATATTATTTTGACATCTTGTCCAATTTTTAAACCAATTTTATTTTTACTTTCATAATTTTATATTCAACTGCTTGTAATTTTAACTGTCTTGAGTATTCATAGAATTGGTTTTTACCAGACTGTAGCCACGATTCTGAYGTTTCTGTAGATACCAAACATGTCTATGTTTAACTAAAAGACCTTAGAGTAATTAAAGTAGAAAACCGGGGGTTTGGGCTGAAGAGATGAATGAACCAATTGGCGGGCCGAACTTTGAATAGCCCTGGCATACAACCTCAAATTTGACTGGTTTGTTTCTATTTGCAGTAGGAAAAAGCTTGTTTTAAATCATTTAAAATATATAAAACTCTGAAAGTACACTTAGCAGAAAAAGTAAGGAAATTAGTGTTTGGTAGATTATTTCTTTGTTGTAACAATGCTTCTTGGTAATAAACCTTATATCATTGGAAAGCCTGTTAATTCTCCTTTTAAAAGGAGCCACATTTGTAAGGAACATGCATTTGTGGGATGAGCAGTAGAGCTGAGTATGGGGGTTGTGCACTGTGGTGCCTGATGCATTCAGACAAACAAATTGGAGTTAGGTCATTTATGACTTCAGTGTGAACATCGCCTTAGTGTCTGTAGGCCTCTGCCTCTTTTTCTTTCCCTTTTTAATTGCTCTATAGAACAACACGCACCAACAGTACATCTGGGGGTGGGGGTGTGAGTGTCAGGGTCTTTAATCCCATCCCGTTCCCCGACTGCCATTTGGTGGGGGGGTCCTGAAGAAGGGCGGGCCTCTGGGTGCRGTCCTGGGCTGTGGTTGGGCTCAGGGCTTGGACAGTTGCCGGGGGCGGGGCTGGCTCTCCATCCTCCCTGGTGCTGCTTGGCCTCCTGAGGTGTGGCTCTTGGTTCCTGTGGGTGGTCCCCTGGCTGGGGTGGCTGCCGGGTTCCAGCGGGGTGGACGACTGGGGGGGGTGCACTTGGTCATTGGCAGTGTGGTGGGGTGGTCATGGGTGAGGCTTCTGTGCGGCGGGGGCTGGCCGGGCGTCCTGGTGCGGCCGGGGCCGGGCCTTGGCTATCTGCTCCTCTCCACCTCAGAATGATTGGGTCTACCTCCTGGGTTCGGGTGTGTGCTGCCTCCAATAGGGGGTGGGTACATGTCCTGGACCTGGGGGGTATAGAGTGTGTATCGGGGGTATGAGTAGAATGTGGTGTCCTTGTACAGTATGTCTTTGATTGAGTGGGGGTGAGGATGAGGGTGGGATGGTGCGATTGTGTATGTTTGGGTATTTGTCAGGTTGCGGTC